CAGACATAGATAAAGCTATAAAAAAATAACAAGGACCGAAGTGCAGTGTTAATATTATTCAGGTATTTAAACTGAAAACTAATCAAGAATTGCTTTATAAATGCGATTGGGAATCCGTAGCTGTATCTGAATCTGTTTGGATTTTTTTATTGGGGTGTAGGGTTTGGGCTCTAAAAGATGACTACGTATTCTACTATAAAACAAAACCACTGTCTACTAGACAGAGGTTTTGAACATTTTTTTTAACTGAAAAAAAGGGTGAATCGATCAGAAAAACATACATTACAAAAGTCCATATCAACTGAATATGTTTAGTTTGTAATCGTGGTTTGTAGACATTGAATCTAAAACTTTTGAAAGTTAACTTTGACTGATGATAACTTTCACGGACAGGAAAATAGTATCGATAACAGAATCTTAGCATCATTTAACTAATAATCCATAGCAACTCTTCTCATCGTAATCCTTAAACCGATTTGACCAAACAATGGCATATTTTCTTAAACCGCACCGCTGTAAAATGAAAAACTTTGGAAGTCTTCAAAGGTCTTGGGAAAGGAATTTTGGACTCGATGATGACAGCTGATTTTATCTTGTTAGTTTTTCAATGAAAGACAAGGGGGAATTTAATTTCACTCCGAGTTCGGCCATCATGCTCATCATGAGGCCAYACAATGTGTTCTTTGAAATGCAGCCTGTCGGAAACCAAACAGCTGAGAAAGTATTGGAAAAATTAGAGCAAGAAATTTGGGCCGGTGTTAAACAGACCTCCATATTACAACTGTTAACTATGTTAATTACAAGCTAAAAAGAAAGAAAASAACGAAGGATCTTTCAATGAATTGCAAGCCTTAATATCTTTAAGAACTGAGTGTCAATACATTTTGTTCAATCTATAAGTATTTTTTACGGTCCTAGTTCTTGAAAGACTGCCTGTTCTATGTAATTTATGCACAGGAAATATTTTTAAAAACTTTTGTTTGTTTTTGTAATATAAGGTTTAATACTAGGTTGAAAATGATGCTCGTACTCGTATTTATTAAAGTTAATCTGTTTTTTTCTTGAATCAAAATTTAAAGCAGTTAGGCAATTTTTGCAGTAGATCCTCACCATATGTACGTTTTTTTAACACCATGATCATGAGATAATATTTATTGTATGAGTCATACAATTCTTACCAATCAATTACTGTCGAAGGTTAGAGTCATTGAAGTCTCGAGCAGCTATTTTAAGCAAACTTTGGAATCTTTTGTTCTTTGATCGTGCGTTTTGACATTATAGAACAGCTTGAGTTAACAGGTGTAACTTTGTGTCTGAAAAAAGCGTTGTTCGATCACAGGCGAAAAGAAAATTTAATTTTAAAAATATGTTTGAAATTAATAATAGTTTTTTTTTTGAATATCCATTTTCTTTTCCTACGGAATTCAAATATGTTTCAAATCACAAAAATGGAATCTAGAAAACGGCGCGATGTTACATTTAGAATGGTTGGATCGTTTCGTGTTTTCTTAAACATATCTGGAATCACTCAGATGATGTACAGCACAATAAACTTAAAAAAAAACCTCACCATTTTATTCATTACAAAATTGGGTTTAACAATACGGTGATAAAAGAAGATCTGGGCTTACAATGGCTATGATTTTGGCTTCGTCATGATGTGAGAACCAATAGTTAAGACATTTTGTTCAGCTATTAAGATCTTTTCAATTCAATCATTTAACATCGCTTAAGGCAAGTGACTTCATTAAGTCCTTAATTGAAAGTACCACTGGTGGTTTTAAAGAAGGGCAGGTTTTACGAGATAAGATCAAGGGAAACCGGGGAATTTCCCTCACGAACTACGTGCGCGCTCGAAGTCATTAAAAAGGCTTGAAGACAGCTCAGGCTAAACCTGGAACACATTATCAGCTTTAATCTTCTTGTTTGTTGTAAAGTGAAAGTCAAAGAATACTGAGATTCGCTATTTTTAGACACAAATCTGTATGACACAGTAATTGAACGGACAATCAGACAGCCATTTTAGGTCATGTTTACAATTTTGAATCATGAAGCCGCAGTAAATTTCAAAGCATTCTTGGTAAGCGATGCCGTTTTTCACTGGCTAACTTTGCATATATTACAAAATTTAAAAATAGAATAAGCACCTCTAAAATGCTTTATACGGGAATTCTTAAGCTTTTAAGTATTTTCACATCAACCACTATGACAATCACGTGTTAAGAGGTTAAACATTAATCATCCATCACAGTTAAAGGGCTCGAGGTTTCCATACCTAACAGAAGCTACTTGGTTTTGTTACTTTTCAACCTCGTTTGATCATAATGAAAGAATTCTATTACAAAACCTAAATATGTTGGGTAAGGCTCTATTGGCCGTACAAAGTTAGATACGTTACTGAGTAACAGGTGATTTACTAATTTTAATGTAGCCTTACTCGTTGTCAGCCCTGTCTTTTATTAACTTGTGTCTATTTTAAATCTGGAATTATTAAGGGATTATTTTTAGATTTTGAAATTACTTGTTGATAAATGGAATAAAGATTATTTGATATTTTTTTATTGACTAACTCCGCCAAGCTTTACTTTACGAGCACATTTGTTGAACACATCGTAAAGTTGGTCAACGAAGAAAAAGATTTTTGATAATTTGCAATTTTGATTTTACACTTTTGAAAAATTTATGCTATTCAAAAAAGAAACAATCATTCATGAAAGCAGCACCTGTTTAATGGGCAATTAGGAGTTAAATCCTTTGAGGGTTGATTATTTCTTCATGGCAAAAACTCATTATTTTCATTATAGTTTATTCCCAAAGTTAATTGTGTGCATATAAATAGTGACAATCTTATGAATGTATAGTTATATAGGAATATAAAGAGTAATATATCACACGTCAGTGAGACTTTCTAAATGCATGGTTCGGTAAAAGTATGTTTATATTAGTCATTGTATTAGTTCTAATTAGACGTCTCTAACTTATCTTAGTCACACGATATAAAACCAACACTYTTAATCAGTGTTTATTAGTAAGTTTCGTAAGAGTGAGGATTGCCAAGTTTTAAAGAGGTTTTTGCAGTTGTTTAAGTCTGTATCAAGGTGCTTATGATTAGAAACAAACAAACAACAGCTACAACAACAACGACAACAACAACAACAAAAAAAACAACAATGAAATTAAATAAAAATCTATGTAGAAAATTTCCTTTGTGCGCGAGAGAATCAATATTTCAGATATGGTTTGGATTCTCACATGACACAAAACGGCTCACTTCAAGTTAATTTAGGAATCCAGAGCTAAAACATCATGAACAAGCATTTGCTTTGTTATTAATTTTTTGTGTGAACTTTCTTGAGTCTTCCTTCAATTATTCTAGTGGTTAACAGGTTTTAAAGTGATCAAGTCAACGTTCTCAAATATATCAAACATCATTGGCTGTTGCATAAGCTAGCTCATAAACTATAGTCTTAAAGGGAAAGGGATATCAAAAGGCTCATTTTGTTATGAATTATTTTTAAAAACTGGGAATTGGATATTCTTACTTTCTACCTTAGTTTTAAATATATACATTTTTTAAAGATAATGACTGAGACTAGAAAAATTTACAGCGTGATTATAGAACGTTTCTCAGTTCCAACTACATAGTTGTTTATATTGTTTTCAAACTAAACAGACCCCAGATGAATAAGGGTGGGTAGAGACGTAGTGCATTTTCAACGCATTCTTCTGATAAAACGCTCTGTCACAGAATTCACACTTGAACGGCTTGTTCGGCAAGTGTATTCTCTTGTGGGTGTTCAAGGTTGAAGCAAGAGTGAAACCTTTACCACATGTCTCACACTTGTGTGGACGCTGACCGGTGTGTCCAAAGATGTGTGCTTGTAAGTTGCTTTTCTGGTTAAAGCCCTTGTCACAATATTGACATTTGTACATCCTCACGTCTGAGTGGGTCCTCATGTGGTACTTGAGATGTGTTAACTGCTTGAACCCTCGCCCGCATTTAGCGCATTTGTGGGGCTTCTCTCCTGTGTGGATGTAGCGATGTATTCTCAAATCTGCTTTCTGGTGAAATCGTTTGCCGCAAAACTCACAAGCATGGGGCTTGTTGGCGGAGTGTGTTCTCATATGAGTGTACAGGTTCGATGTTCTATTAAATGTTTTCTTGCAAACGCTACAAATAATTGCTTTCTTTGAATTTGAATCATCTTGATTCTCTGCAGCTTGATCTAGGGAAATCTTTGGCTGTGTTTCACTGTTCTTTGGATCTTCAAGTGCTTTGGTTTTCTCCTTTTTCACTTGGCTCACAGCTATCAACTTGCTTCCACTTTCTCCACTTTTTTCGTTTCTTTCTTCTTTTGTAGTATCACATTTCTTGCCTTCCAAAATTTCCTTACTGCTTCTTGATTCATCGACTTTATCTTTCCAAGCTGTTGGTGTTTCATCGCCGTTTGCTTTTCTTTCTGAGTTGTGAGCTGAATAAGAACTAAAGATCTTGTCTTTTCTCCTGTCTTTGTCGATACGCCTGATATGATTCTCTGCTGTTATAGTTTCTTCTGTGGGGAAGTCCTTCTTGGAGAACTCGTCTTCCATTACAGTGGCATGGACTGGTAAAGGCACGTCTTTGAATCTTTCTCTTTGCCCCCGACTTCTTTTCTGCTTGTATCCCAAGTCATTCATATGGATTATTCTCGCTCCTGCATCGTCCAGAATCATCGTTTGTGTCTGATTGGTAAATGGAACTTCAGATTTTGAAGCCTGAAATTCATCAAACCTCTGTCTCTCATTTCTGGTGTCCAACCACCTTGCATTCGATGTTACGTTATTATAGTGAATGAGTGGTATTTCTTCGTTACAGCATGGATAAAAAACTTTCTCTTTTTCGATAAATGCTAAGCTTCCATTATCTGTGACAGGAAATGGACGCCGAATGTCGAACGGCACGTTGCTCAAGCCATTGAACAAAAATTCAGGCTTTGGTGTGGGGATCAGCATATTTGGAACTGGCAAATATCTAACATATTCTCCAGTTGATGGTCTATTCCCAGGGTGTTGCTCTGTAGAGAACGCATCAAAGGCTTTTGTCTGGTTATTTCTTTCCGCGCCTGGATGTTCAACTCTTAGAAAGGCAATCCTTTGCTTATCATAAACATCATCTTTACCTGCAATTCGGTTAAAATAAGGCCAATTTGAATCTGCCTGGAGTCGGTAGGGATAATGATGTTCAAATCTTTCCTTGGACTGGAAACCACCATCTTCTTCACTCTGTTTGAAGCTCTTTGGTTCGTTTTTAGAATAGCATTCGGATCTGTTCGGGTTGGCAAATAGTACTCCGTACTTAGGATGCCACCTGGGCAAACGTTCTTCTTGCAAAGACCTGTAAGCCTGTTCGTCAGGAACGTATCGTGCGCTCGGTTCTTCAGTTATAAAACACTTACGATTTCGGGGATCAATCGAGGGTAGGTAGGCAGAATTCCTGTGAACCTGCTCATTATTTGGTCTTGGCCCTAGCTTACAGCCACTTCCAGCAACAACGCGGTAATCTGATGGCATTTCATGGATTCCTATTCTTTCGTACGTGGGATAGGGATCTGCGTACGTTTTGTTGAACTGAGTATAGGCGATGTTGTTGGCATCTTGAGGCATTTTTCTTTCTCCTTCTTTGGCCTGATGCCATATTGGGGCCTCCAAGGGACGGGCATGACTTGTTGGATGAAATTCTCTGAAATCATTCCTAAGTGAGTGTTCCTCTGTATGTAGTTCATAGAGCTTTCGTTTCTTGTTTGTTTGCTTGGAATCTTTCCTTTCATTTGGGCTGCTCATTTCTGTAGCGTCATGGATTTTGCCACCGTCTCTTGATACGTCAGTCTTCCTTCTTTGGGTACTTTCCTTTATTTCATGGAAATCTTTCTCGGTTCCTCCTACTTCTCTAGTGTCTTTGGTATCATTAGAGGAACTTTGGTTGCCTCTTCTTTCTTCTTTGACAGCAGCAAAATTGGTGTCTTTAGGAAGGCGTGGACTATTGCCTTTCAAAGAAGTTTGGGCCTCGTAGAAAAAACTTTTCGGCCTTGACACATCAATTCCACTCTGGTGCTCATCGTCGGTTTTCTCTTTCTTTACTTGTACTTCTACGACAATCATTGGGCCAGAATCCACATCGTTTACCGCTGCCGTTTCTCTCTTGGCTTTGGCGTTAGGGTCTTTTACTACTACAGTTCTTTGCTTTAACATGTTATGATAGTGGGAGCGTCTCACAACGTTAACATCAGAGTACGAGCAACCATATGATTCCATTTTTCAAGCCTCTTCAATTTATTACAGTTTTCTACTTTCAAACTAACAGATGTTTTCTTCTAGAAGATTCACGCTGTTTAAGTTGTAATTGAGACGAAATTTCTGAAACGAAAACAAACGTGTAGATTAGAAAAAAACTTCACAGCTTGAAAGATACGCACGCGAAAAGACTAACCCCTTTGTTTTATGCACAAAGAGTAGATTAGCTTTTTACGATACCTTYAGGGGCCCCTAAAAGACTAAACGCAATAATTACCTAGATAGTTATCAAAACATTATATAGTGGTGCCTTGCTGATAACAATACCAGTAATCCTCCTTACTTTTAAACAAAGTTTTTGAACATTTATCTGACAACTGGAGATATTTTCATTACCTATTGCAACTGGATAAAAACCTGTAAATTAGTTTGTGAATGTGTGTGAGTCAACGAAAACCCTTACTAATGCTCTCTTGATTATTACGCACATTGATACATTTAAGTTAAAGATATTCTCTATGATAATTGTAAGGTGAAAAACCGAAGAACGCGAGGGTTTTCGGAATGAGCACACGCGCAAGTTGATGACGCGGCACGGGACAAGGGTGACGCGCAAACTTAGGCCCCGTCCACACGTATCCGGAAATTTTTGTATCCACAATTTTTATTTTTTTTATTTTTTACGGATACGGGTTGTGTCCACACGTGCCCGCCAATTTTTGTGTCCGTATCCGCAAAATTTACGAAAACGGACACGTGTGGACGGTGAAAACGATTCAAATACGCTGCGTGTGGACGCAAACATTTTCGTATCCGTAAAAAATAATTTGCGGATACAAAAATTTCCGGATACGTGTGGACGGGGCCTTACAAGGGTAAACTGCATGCAGTTACTAAAAAGAGCCCAATAGAACAAGGAATTTACATGGCGCGCGCGTTATTAAGAAGTCCCCCTCTCTTAATTATGCTCTCTTGATGTAATAATATAAAAAGAATAGATGAGAACAATCTCAACCTCATGAATTTCAAAATAAAAAATAATCCGGATTTTTTTAATGAACAATTATGCAAGGGCATTTTGGTAAAAGCTTAGAATTTATGGCGGACCATTATACGGTGCATCATACACCGGATATCATTTAAAACCAATATGCAAAACCGAGTATCGATTTTATTGAACCTTGAGAGCTTATTACTCCTCTTAGATTCTTTATTAACATTGATTAAAGTGCATAAGACACTAAAAAAGATTAATGTTAAAAGTGTTAAAAATTAATAAAAATATCACGGTTAAATTCGTTTTAAAAACGTATTTCTCTAGAAATTCAAGAAAACTTAGCACAAGTTGTGACGTCTCCAGTTTTAGTTCCAAATACACGAAATATGTTTGAATGTAGAATCTTAATTTCAGGTAGTACAGTTTTCAGTTTCCCAACATTTGAAGAGTAGTACGTAAGCTATCAAATGAAGCGGAATAGAATATGCCTTTTGTCGTTATTTTATACGAATTACAATTTATATTTAGTGCTTTACTACCGAATCTACAGTACGTGTCAACAAAATGTCGTCACAAATTGGGATTAATTTTCTCAGATATCTCAAGAAATAAGCTTTTGAAACAAATTTTATTGCGATATATTTATTATTACTAACAAACTATACATTTTAAACGATGAAATGTTTTCGTGTCATATACACTTTAAACATTTCCAATACAGGTGTCCCCAGGTGCCCTTACCTTGGACTTGACAGTAGAATAGTATCAATTAATGTTAACGAAAAATTTTGAATTGTTTAATCAGTTAATATTTATGGTAATTTCCATAATTTCAAATTCTATCCAATCCGTTGTCGAAAAATTAAAGAATTCCGAATATATTAGCTATCAAATTACGTGACTACACATCTAAGGACGAAATACAATTAATTGAAAAATGAAAATGAAGAAGAAAAAGGAAATGAAAGTCACGTTGAAGGAACTAAAACCGTTCAACCTTTACCATATTCTTAAGTCATCAGTTTTCAAAAGCCGTTAGATTTCAAATCAAATGGCAATCAAAATTCAGCATCACCTGTGTGTTAGGTATAGTCTCGCATACTACCCTTTAAAAGTAGTCTCAAAGAGTAGTCTCAAAGAGTAGTCTCAAAGAGTAGTCTCAAAGAGTAGTCTCAAAGAGTAGTCTCAAAGAGTAGTCTCAAAGAGTAGTCTCAAAGAGCTAGCTTACTGAAGCCAGCTGTCATAAGATTTATTTTAAGTTTTCGTGCAACACAGCAGTAGTGTACCGGTTAAATTAGTCGAGACAATAAGCGCATTAGATAAGAAGAGTTTGATAACTATGAGTTTTATTACTACTAGTTAATTTGTTTTCCTTTGGTTCTAGATTGTACTTTAGTTAATCTAAATAACTATTCATTCATAATTATCTGAAGTCCAAGTAAAGAACTTGTTACAACAGTGAAACACTTGAGCCGTGAACAGTTTTTTTTGGCATCACTTGAAAAAGAAAAAAAGAAAAAAAATGCCTACTTAAATCATCCCTTGAACCAATGTATTGGAAATAATATTCATTTGGATCTCTCGGTGTATTTGAATTCAATGTTTCATTGTATAGGGTTTGAAACAGTAGAAAGCTCAGGAAATAATAACATGAAAAAAAAAAAAAAAAACTCGAATTGTTTTCACCGGTACGAGTGTCGTTACCGTCATTCACACCGTATACGAATAGTTCCTAAACTGAATGAAAACTATATTTTCAAAGTCTTTAAATTCTGTAGCAAGCTAGGTATTTGAGTGTTTTGAACCTTGACAATATGTCATGAGCGATGTCGTGCAGTGTGCCCATACATTTTGGGTGCAGCTGTCCTGAAAAATGTACGATTTATTTTTATGTATATAAGAAAAGTTGGAGTATTCAGAATTGGAAATTGGCAATAAATGTTGTGCTTGAACTATATATGATAAAATATTGCTATAGCACAGTCATCTTTTTCTGTCCCATTTTGCATGAAATGTGTCCATCGACAAGCAAAAACTGTGCAAGAAAGAACAACTCATAAAGCAGATTATGATTTTAAGGGACAAAAAAATTATGAATTGGGCCCGGTTATATGAAGGGTGGATTGCATAACAACCGAGCCCAGAACTGATGCCAAAGTAAATAAAATGAAGTGGGAATAACTAACGATAATTATTACAAACACTAGCATTCCTATAGGAAGAATCGCCGCATATATCAAAGTGTTAGTTGGTTATTGAGTAATAATAACAGATACTTACTTGATAGATCTCACTTGATCTTTCTTTTCATTGTTTTTCTGTTTTCATCACATTGGTTAACAATTTTATCAAGTCGTTTTGGTTATATTTCCTATAGGACACAAAATATACACCACTCCGGTTCAATTTTTTCACAACAACGTATTAGCCAATCAGTGAACATTTTGTTCAAAGCTTTCAAATAAATRAAACATATCTTCGAAAAGATTCACCATTGGCAAATTTTGTTTTATTTCGGATAATGATGATTTTTCCTCGCCAATAACTTGAAGAAAAACGTACTAATAATAAATGAATAATAAAGAAGAAAAAAAAGGGGAGAAGGAAATTTGCGTCTGCTTAATACTAAGCAGTTACCATATAACATGTCGACTAAAGACTTTGTTATGGTTATCTTAATGTTTTCTTATTCTTTTTACGAAAACAACTCACACTGACCCCAACCTTCGGACCCCCTGGAATTGACTAAACCTTACTGGTGGTCTGTACAATGGAAATAATTCCATCGAAAATATTTTTCATTTCAAGAGAAGAAACCCCTAATTGCTTTGGCCCTTGGGATACCAGTGAAGTTCACTATGGGATCAAACTGAACGGTTAGACTAAAAAAATTCCTCTGGCTCATCAATATTTAAAAGCTTAGTGATCTACCTCCACCACCCCCCCCCCTCTCCCATCTCCCCTCCCCCGACGATAGACTTCTATTCCTACTTACCCTCTCATTTTCCAAACAAATAATGACTTGTTATGAATAAGAATAACGTAACGAATATGAATAAAAATTCTTATTCTTCGGGTATTTGAACGTATTTCGAACCACTTTTTTCAATATTTTCGAAGAAGCCTTGTTCTTTAGAATAATATACTTTATCGTCAAAACCCGAAAAGAAAAACTGAAAAAAAGAAGTAAATAATGAAGCTTAGTTCAAAGTGCCACATGTATTTAGCGCTTAGTTTTCGCACTAATAAATATGACTCTAATTTTAGGCATTTTACCGCAGCACCGAAATACTAGTGCCAAATAAATTATTATTTTGTCTTTTGTTTCGTCAAAACGTTGGGGGATCCATTGATATTGGTTCAATATGCATGACTTTAACATTAGGTGAACTGATAGAGTAGTCTTTCAAAAAAAGAAGTTTTAATAGATTTGAAATGAGTCATTGATTATGGATACTGTACTAGAGAGAAATCAAAGCCTGAAACTGTGTTTTCCTTGGAGTTCCTCTTACATGATAGTGCGTTAGCTCTAATTTCGTTGCAAAGAACAAATCATCTTTTTTTCTGTCTCTCTCTCTCTTTCCCAAAGATGGAAATAAATTCACCATGCTGCCTAGCAACGGGTACTCGGTTGCCTAAAAAAAATATAATGCCGGGATAATCAGTACGAAGCACTGCCTATATTTTCAACTGTAACACTGAATTGGCTTCCCATTGTTTCCATACGTACACTTCCTTATAGGAAAAATAGATTAGCTTAAATATCATGAAATATGTTGAACAATTTGGATAACTAGTGTTCTACACTGACTAGCGACTAATCATGACTAGCCTCTCATACATGTGAAAACGCTTTTGTTTCCACGTGAACACGAAGCTAGTTGTCGCTTGTCAGTGCAGAATGATAGTTATTCAAATTGACCGCCATATTTCAATACGATGTTTAAGACTACCGATTTACACCAATTCATTCATCTTCACGTTTTTCTGATATCAATAATCAGTACAAATATATATCTAAATTCCGCAATAATCTAACTTGTATATGTCCCGTTCACGTTAACATCTTTTATTTAGTACACATTTCATCGTTCGGCGCGATTTCGTATAAAC